GGAAAAGTTGAAGGCCTTCTCCAGGTCTCAGGCAAGTGCAGAACTATTTTCTTAGTCTTCTATATCCAAAAATAGAAAATGTAGATTGTACTAACATTCCCCGAAATCATCTGTAACAGTCCAAGCTCACCGCTAGCAGATATTGTCCTCTTTGGGCTTTCCCTTCTAAGCTTCTCCTTAAGGTTTTAAAATGTGTCCATTAGGGAGAGGTTTCCACACCCTTATAAAGAATGTTTCGTTCCCCTCTCCAACCGACGTGGGATCTCACAATCCATCTCCCCTTAGGGTCCCAGTGTCCTCGCTGGCACACCACCCGATGTCTGGCTCTGATATTATTTGTAACAGCTCAAGCCCACCCCTAGCAAATTTTGTCGTCTTTGGGTTTTCACTTCCGGGCTTTCCCTCAAGGTTTTAAAACACATTTACTAGGGAGAGGCTTCCACACCTTTATAAGAAATGTTTCGTTCCTCTCTCCAACCGATATGGGGACTCACAATCCACATCCCCCTTGGGGACCAGCGTGCTCGCTGGCACACCCCGCCCAATGTCTAGATCTAATACCATTTGTAACAGCCCAAGCCCAAGCCCAAGCCCACCACTAACAAATATTGTCCTCTTTGGGTTTTTCCTTCCGGACTTCTCCTCAAGATTTTAAAACATGTCCACTAGGGAGAGGTTTCCATACCAATATAAGAAATGCTTTGTTCCCCTCTCCAACTGATCGTGGATCTCACCATCTCCAGTTAAGTTGATTTTAGAAACAAAAGGTTCTACATTATGAGAAGGGAGGAAAGTAAAACTAGTTTTATACTATATTTTGAGAACCATTATTTTCCGGTTTCCAAAGAAGTTTTCACACTTGTCTAATTAGAAACAAGACCTAACATATTTTAGAAACATTCACATAAAAATCCTTCAGTTTAGATATAAGAATTTAATAGTGTTCAACATTTTCAGCTCAACTACATACTTGGAGACAATCCAATGAAAATGAGCTATGTAGTCGGCTACGGAAACAACTACCCCACCCATGTCCACCACAGGGGTGCCTCAATTCCTTGGGATGGTCAATTCTATTCATGTACTGAAGGAGATAGATGGCTGTTATCTAAGGGTCCAAATCCAAATCTTCTTATAGGAGCCATGGTGGCAGGACCCGACAAGTTCGACCACTTCTCAGACGATAGGGAAAAACCTTGGTTTACTGAACCGACAATAGCAAGCAATGCAGGTTTAGTTGCAGCGCTTATTGCTCTACATGACTATCCAGGTGATGTTTCAGTTTATAATGGTAAAAATATAGGCATAGATCAGATGTCTATCTTTGATAGAATACCTATGGCTTCTCTAGCTCCTTGAAAGTCCTAAGATATATGTTTAACTTCTCACAATAACAGAAATTTGACTTCAGAAATCTTCACTCTGTAATATCCCACACTCTTTCTTACATGCAAGAGTCTGAAAATTTTGTTTCTTCACAATTCCACGACTTTCTTGAGTAAATACCTAGGCAATCTCACAACTTTTGACTGCTTACTTTATTTCCATACAAGCTAATATTGTTCACTTTGGCCAGTTACGTATAGCCGTCAGCCTCACGGTTTTAAAACACATCTGTTAGGGAGAGGTTTTCACACCGTTATAAGGAATGCTTCATTCCTTTCTCCAACCGATGTGGGATCTCACAATCCACCCCCCCTTAGGGGCCCAGCATCCTCACTGGCACACACGTCAGTCTCATGGTTTTAAAACACATCTATTAGAGAGAGGTTGTACACCTTTGTAAGGAATGCTTTGTTCCCCTCTCCAACCGATATGGGATCTCACAATCCACCACCTTGGGAGCCCAGCATCCTCGCTGACACATCGCCCGATGTCTAGCTCTGATACTATTTGTAATAGCCCAAGCCTACCACTAGCAGATATTGTCTACTTTGGCCTGTTACGTATCGCCATCAGCATCACGGTTTCAAAACACGTCTATTAGGGAGAGGTTTCTACACCTTTATAAGGAATGTTTTGTTCCCCTCTCCAACCAACGTGAGATCTCACATAGTATTTTCAGTTTTTGACACCTCTACTAACTAATAAATCAGCAGATATTGTCACTTTGGCCTGTTAGGTATCGCCGTCAGTCTCACGGTTTCAAAACACGTCTATTAGGGAGAGGTTTCCACATCCTTATAAGGAATGTTTTGTTCCCCTCTCCAACCGACGTGGGATCTCACATAGTATTTTCAGTTTTTGACACCTCTACTAACTAATAAATCAACAGAAAACAAAATTTCATCCCAAAGAAGCATCCATAGCAAATATCTACCTCTTCAAACAGGAAACTGATTTCACATGTGAAAGTTACAGACTTAAGACTTGAGAAGATTTGTTTTACTTCTACAACTCAGTAGTACATGCATTGTTTCACTTCGAAAGGATCTAGCTAGTCGTTGTAATTCAGTAACTAAGTCGCATTTGGAAGTGAGGCTTAAGAACAACAAAAGAACAGAAAAAACTCAGTTGATAAAGAAAACTCATCTGAATGCTAAGATGAAACCACCATGAACAGAGATTTATAGCCTTATAATTCAAATTTTCCAATACAGTCTGTAATACATATTACAAATCCAGCCAATCCGCAACTTAACTTAGATTAAAATAAACTCAAATAAACTTAACGACAATCGGCATTGTATTGATCTTTCTTAGAAACCCAACGCAACCATGAACATAGAGATCAAGAAATCCAATGACCGACAGCCGGAAAGCAACAGATCTCGAGAAAAATTAGAGAGACAGGGAAGAATTTCAATCACATGAAAAGACCTGTTGGGGCAATCTCAACGCCTCAGCTCTGGAGAAGCAGGTATCATCGATGGCATCACTCCGGCACCACCGGCAATTGGGGGTCTCCGAGCACTGTAGAGCCGAAACCTTTTCGCCGCAATTAGGAATCCGACGATCTCTCCTTCTCTGTAAGCTCAGTAAACCCCGATCGGAGCTGGGTAAGTTGAATTTGCGAGTCTCGGATAAGGCATTACTTGAGACGCAGATGAATGAAAAGAAGAGGAAGGAGACGAGGAAAATGGAGAGTGGCGTGTGAAGATGGAAGCTCCTTCCCATGGAAATGGTGGAAAAGCTGTGGGAATCCAGATCCCACAGCTACAACTATTACAGAGTGTTCTTGAGCATGTTCTAGAGCAAGTTTAAGAATTAGTGCAGTATAAAAAAACAATAAAAATTATATAAAAAAAAAAACCAAATTAAAAAAAAAAAATTAAATTTCCTTTTAAAAATATTTCAAAATCATCTTTAATACCATAAATACTTTATTTTAATTTTAAATTTTAAAAAGTTTGGTTAATATTCTTTTAATTTTTTAAAAAATTTTAAAAATACTCCGTTAATAATATATTCAGAAAATACATATAAAATTTTAAAAATACTATTATCATCCATTTTATTTTTTATTTTTTATTTTTATAAAAGTTAATTATGTTAAGACTACTTTTTAAAAATGAGTACAAATTATAAATATATTTTTTGTTTTTTTAAAGTGGATAAGTTTAATAATTTTTTTTAAAGTTTATTATTAAAAATTTAAGTATATTTTTTTAGTTTTAATTAAAAAATAATAAAAAAAATTAAATTAATAAAAATAAGAATAAATTTCCTTTTAAAAATATATTTTATATCATTAATACTTCATTTTAAAATACTCTCACCAATTTTAAAAATACAAGGTTAAAAAGTTTGGTTAATATTCTTTATATATTTTTTTTTTTATAAAATACTCTCAGATTTAATAACAGAATTAGAAAATACTCATAAAATTTTAAAAATACTACTAACATCATTTTTTATTATCTTATTACTACTTTTAAAAATTAGTAATTATAAATATATTTTTTATTTTTGTAAAGTTGATAAGTTTAATAATTTTTTTAAAGTTTATTATTGAAAATTTAAGAATATTTTTTTTTAGTTTTAATTAAAATAATAATAATAATAATTTAAATAAACTAAATTAATAAAAATAAGAATAAATTTTTTTAATACAATTAATACTTTGTTTTAAATATACTATCTAATTTTTATAGCATTTTTAAAAATACTTTTAAAGTTTTTAAAGTTTAAAAACTTTTGTTAATATTCTTTAATTTTTTTTTAATTTAAAAATTAGTACAAATTATAAATATATTTTTTATATTTTTTTAAAGTTGATAAGTTTAATAATTTTTTTTAAAGTTGATTATTGAAAATTTAAGAATATTTTTTTTTAGTTTTAATTAATAATAATAAAAAATAATAAAAAGCTAAATTAATAAAAATAAGAATAAATTTTCTTTTAAAAATATTTAAAAAATATCGAAACTTTTAGTGGTTTAAAAACACTCTTAAACTTTAAAAAAAATTCTTAATATCATTTAATTTTTTTTTAAAGTTCAAGAATACTCGTAAAATTTTAAAAATACGATATATATATATATATATATATATGTTTAATTAATTTAAAAAAAAGTTTATTATTAAAAATTTAAGAATATTTTTTTAGTTTTATATATATATATATATATATATGTTTAATTAATTTAAAAAAAAGTTTATTATTAAAAATTTAAGAATATTTTTTTAGTTTTATATATATATATATATATATATGTTTAATTAATTTAAAAAAAAGTTTATTATTAAAAATTTAAGAATATTTTTTTAGTTTTATATATATATATATATATATATGTTTAATTAATTTAAAAAAAAGTTTATTATTAAAAATTTAAGAATATTTTTTTAGTTTTATATATATATATATGTTTAATTAATTTAAAAAAAAGTTTATTATTAAAAATTTAAGAATATTTTTTTTAGTTTTGAAATATTTTTTTTAGTTTTAATTCAAAACTAAAAAAGTATTATTAAAACTTGGGGGATTTTTTTAAAGATGAAATAAAAAAATTTAAATATTTTTATTAATACAATCCACAAAACAGAATGATGAGGCAAATTTGCAGCATTGGTTGTCTCTCCCTCTCATCAAATTAGGTATTTTTGTACAGAGCATACGAACTACAAATTCACAACTTCAAGGTTGCTCACAACAGTTCTTCCATTAAATTGTGATCCAAGATAGATTCCCATCGACGCCAAAGGTTCTATACTGTAATCATAGAAACGTAAGAGTGAGAGAGACGTACAAGAACGGAGACCCATTTGTTTATCTCTTCATCTTCCTTTTGAATCCTTTGGAATTTCTTCAATTTCTTCAATTTCTTCAATTTTATTGTTCTTTTTGATTTTTCAGGGATTTATTTGTCTGCGTGTGATTGATCGTTCTTGATACTCGGAGCTTGGTTCATAATTTTCTTCGATGGAGGAGAAACATCCGTCTTCTCCGACTAATTCCCGAGCAATCGAAACTTTGGCTTCCGATTTTCCCGAGCTCCATCCGGATTCTATTTCTGACAGTTCCCCTTCTCCTCTGGTAAGCCTATGCATATCTTTCGGTTCAATTAGGTGGTAGTTCTGGTTTTTCCCAAATATTTTGGTGCTGGTTTGATTCCTTGTTGATATTTGATATTAAAGCATGTTTTCTTGTTCGAGCTGTAGGAAAATTTTATTATTCTCAAGTTTTCGATCGAGACGAAAACCGTAGAGTCGTAGAATGGGATTTAGGACAGTGTATTTTGAAATAGTTTTACAGAACCACTCTATTATGGTGCAGATAACCAATATAAAGCTTCAGAACTGAATTTGTATGTTTGTTTCCAATTCATATGATGATGATATTTGGCAGGGTTATCCAAAACTTGATTCTTTTTTAGAGCAGTACACTTCGTTAGGCCCCCAGTGTTCTTTAAGTATTTCGAAAACTGTAGAGCCGTAGAATGGGATTTGGGACAGTGTATTTCGAAATAGTCTTACAGAACCACTCTATTATGGTGCAGATAACCAATATAAAGCTTCAGAACTGAATTTATTTATATGTTTGTTTCCAATTCATATGATGATGATATTTTGCAGGGCTATCCAAAACTTGATTCTTTTCGAGAGCAGTACATTTCGTTAGGCCCCCCGTGTTCTTCAAGTGAAAAAATTGTTGAACCTAGGGACAGTGATTCTGAGTCACTCCAAAGCATTGGGGAAGTGCAAAAATCTTGTGATCAGAACAGGGGAAATTGCTTCTATTACGACTCGCCTCTGTTGGAAGATACTGGAGTCTGGATACCCATTTCTGTTCCACCCATGTCTGAAACTGATCATGAAGAGTGGGCCAAAGGTTTTCACTTAAACGGCGGTTGCTTTCCTGAAAGCGAATCAGGGTGGAGCCAGTGCTTTGAGGGAGAAAAAGAGTTGACAATGTGGGATGTGATGGTAGAAATGTTGCTTGCAGCTCGAGGAAAAGTTGGTTCGCTGGCTTCCACGAGTAACAATGGGTGTAGGTTTTCATGGATATCTAGCCATCTTGTGGAGCAAGCTTTGAATGAATTGGCTCATTCTCTTACTGAAGCAAATTTTGGAAATATAAAGGAAATTCTTGAAGCTGAGCCTCCTAGATGGTTGTCTGATAGTGCTGCTGCTTCTTGCATGCTATGTGGTGTGAAGTTTCATCCAATCATGTGCTCCAGGCACCATTGCCGATTTTGTGGTGGAATATTTTGTGGGGGTTGCTCCAGAGGAAGGAGCTTGCTGCCTGTAAAATTTCGTGTTGCAGATCCACAACGAGTATGCGATGTATGTAATGTACGGCTTGAATCTGTGCAACCATATTTAATGGACAAAGTGAGTAACGCTGCACAGCTACCAACCCAAGACCTGACGGACCTTAGTACATTAAGGTCATGGTTAAACTTTCCTTGGGGACAGTCAATGGAATATGAGATCTATAAAGCAACAAACACCATTCGAGCTTATAACAAGGTAAGTGTTGAAGTCTCTAGTATGTTCTCTGTCACTACTTTTATGTTTATGTTTGGAAGGATTTATTTGTTTCTTTTTCGGGCTCAATCTTCTTTTAGTTGTTGATACATATGCTTCGAATTGAACATTCCTCAAAAGTAAAAAGGAGTTCGAATAATTCATTTTTGATAGTCCTAATACTTCTCTCTATCGAAGTCCAAACACGAGTCCGTTGTTGACCACCACCATCACGACTAGACCAGCCAAAGAACAATAAAAGCAACTAATTTAGCTGAAACCTGAGAAAAAGAGATAACTCCACTTCAAATCATGTAACCTAAAAACCATACTTTCCCAAACGCCCAACACATTTTTGTTGAGGATTGCTTGGAGGGAGTCCCACGTTGGCTAATTTATGAATGATCATGGGTTTATAAGTAAAGGAATGCATTTCCATTGGTATGAGGCCTCTTGGAAAAGCCCAAAGCAAAACCATGAGGGCTTATGCTCAAAGTGGACAATATCATACAATTGTGGAGAGTTGTGGTTCCTAACATGGTATCAGAGTCATGTCCTTAAATTTGCCATGTCAATAGAATCTTCAAATGTTGAACAAAGAAGTTGTGAGCCTCGAAAGTGTAGTCAAAAGTGACTAGGTGTCGAATAAAGGGTGTACTTTGTTTGAGGGCTCTAGAAAAAGGAGTTGAGCCTCAATTAAGGGGAGGTTGTTCGAGGTCTCCATAGGCCTCAGGGGAAGGCTCTATGGTGTACTTTGTTCGAGGGGAGGATTATTGAGGATTGTTGGGAGGGAGTCCCACGTTGGCTAATTTAGGGAATGATCATGGGTTTATAAGTAAAGGAATACATCTCCATTGGTATGAGGCCTTTTGGGGAAGCCCAAAGCAAAACCATGAGAGCTTATGCTCAACAACAATTTTGTGTAAAGTGAGCAATGCTCATGAACCAAGTAGAAGAAAAATGCAACACTCAAAGAGATCGGCCATTGTGACCATTTTTCGAAGAGGTGGTGAACAACCTAAAACAAAGAGAAAAAACCTAATGGATTACCACTTGAGAGTTTAAATAGACGACGAAATTGAAATGGGAGGGCTCGAATTCTAGGATGATGTAATTTGGTAAATTGAAAAGATATAACAACGTTGATGGATGCCAGTTCAGATTTTAAGAACGATGTATGTGGGGTTTCTTTAAAAAATTATCGGGTCGTTGCAAAATTTTAGACCGAAGTGGTGGCTTGCCACAGCCATGAGCGACTGGGCTGCCACAGGACTGGACTGTGATGGGTATTGGAGGGCTAGGACAGTTGTAGAGGAAGAACAACAATTTTTTAGATGTTAGCTAATGCACGTCACTAGATAACGGTCTAGTCACAATTCCTTTAAGTTAAAGGTTAAGTCATTGAATCATTTTACAAACTTGAGGGATTAAAGCGTTTCTTATGAAATTTTAGGGACCAAATAGACATCAAATCAAAACCTCGGGGATCAAAAGTACATTTTACCACGATCCTATATATCAAGTTTTCCTAAACGTTTTCTGTGTTTTCTTGTTGCTCAGGTGGGTTCTTTAAAGCCTGAGAAGCTAATTCCAGATGCAATTCTAGGACAAGCAAAAGGTCTAGCAATTGTTACTGCGGTCAAAGTGGGAGCAGTGGTGACTTACAATGTAGGAACGGGTCTCGTAGTTGCACGTAGAGAAGATGGCTCGTGGTCTCCTCCATCTGCAATTTCAACTATTGGTATGGGCTGGGGAGCTCAGGTTTGCAACTCTTCTCTAACCACTCACGAGAGTAGTTCAAGTTTTTCTCTTTTTAAAGCATTAACAAGAGAGAGAGAGAGATCCCTCTGCTATTGCTTATCCTACATGTGGAAATGTTATGTGGAAATGTTAGGTAATAACCAAGCTTACCGCTAACGGATATTGTCCTCTTTGGGCTTTTTTTTTCGGGCTTCCCTTCAAGGGTTTTAAACGCGTTTGCTCGAAAGAGGTTTTCACACCCTTATAAAGAATGTTTTGTTCCCCCTCCAACCGATGTGGGATCTCACAATCCACCCCCCATTTGGGGTCCAGCGTCTTCGCTGGCACTCGTTTCTCTCTCCAATCGATGTGGGATCTCACAATCCACCCCCCTTCGGGGTCAAGCGTCCTCGCTGGCACACTGTCTGGTGTCTGGCTCTAATATCATTTGTAATAGTCAAAGCCTACCGCTAGTAGATATTGACCTCTTTGGGCTTTCCGTTTCGGGCTTCTCCTCAAGGTTTTAAAACTCGTCTGTTAGGGAGAGGTTTTCACACCCTTATAAAGAATGCTTTGTTCCCTTCTCCAACCAATGTGGGATCTCACAATTCACCCCTTTGGAGCCCAGCGTCCTCGTTGGAACTCGTTCCGCTCTCCAATTGGTGTGAGATCTCACATGTTACATGACCAAGATGCAGAAGGCGAGGGTTTGGTTAGTCGCGGGCTATGAAAACTACCTTTTCTAGATTTAGTTTTAAGTAGAACTAGAAGCGAAATGACATTTAATTTGACACTCCTAAACGGGGTTTAAAACAAATTTGGATCAGATAATGCTTAATTTTTTTTATTGGCGTTTATGCAATAAAGGAGTAAATACTGAATTAATGTTGTTCCTCAAATCAATTTGTGACATCCTGATCTCTTCTTCGGTGAACGTCTAACCTACAATTTGGCCGTTGCCTCTCTTAACACAGATTGGAGGAGAACTGACCGACTTTATAATCGTCTTGCGGACAATTGATGCTGTCAATGCATTCAGTGGTCATATGCATCTGGCAATCGGGGCTGGCGTGAGCGCTGCAGTTGGAGTCATCGGAAGGACAGCTGAAGCCGATGTACGAGCTGGTGACGGTGGTTTTGGCTCCTGTTATACATATAGTTGTAGTAAAGGTCTGCTCTTCATATCTATCATCAATCGTTTCCAAACGTACATTGTTTTTTGAGCTGTTTCTGGTATTCCATGATTCGGAAACGATATTTTGGTTTGAAAAACGTTGGAGTTTATACGAGCTCATGTCACTTCGAGTTTACACGAGCTGATTGTAAATAACATTTCTGTATCACTTGCAGGTGCATTTGTTGGATGTTCACTAAAAGGAAGTATTGTTACCACTCGAACACGAGAAAATGCTCGATTCTACGGCAATCAGTCAATAACTGCCAACGACATTCTCCTCGGTTCACTCCCAAGACCACCTGCAGCTGCCATTCTGTATAGCGCTCTCGCCGATCTATATCTGAAGATTGATAAATGATGAAGCTCGGCGTAAATTAATCAGCTTTATCCACTTTATGAGAAAATTTCTGGAGTGTCATTCAGCTGAACCATTTGCTTGGTTAGGCACACAAACCTGTACAGTTCTTTACTATCATTCTTTGTTTCTGTAAATATTATACCGTAATCTATTGTATTGTGCCATAATGTACAGAAAAAATGGGGCAAAGGTGTAAAACAAGTGGCCCAAGTATTTTACATGTATAACTTTGACATCCAGTTGAATAATATATGGCAATGAAATATCCCTTTCAGCAATCATTAGTGGAATTTGGTTCTTTTGGAAGGAACAAGAACAACAAATAGATTATCAAGGAAAGAATTAAACGATCAACCGAACAACTTATAGTCACAATGAAAGTTGCCAAACTTGAATTTAAGAGGATGTAACTGGATTAACCCTTGTTCTTGAATTCCCAAGTGTAAGTTCAAGATCATCAGAGATGCATTCCTCATGAATTCTCTCTCCTTCCCAAGGCTTCACTAACCCAACAGAACAACTTCCGAAGGCAAACTCCGCCACACTTTCATCTGTCATTAGAACATCTGAAGTATGATCGGCGCCTGCAGTGACCGTGGGCGAGCATGTCCCACTCTGTGCAGGAGTCCAGTTACGAGATCCTCCAGCAGACATTGCCTCCTTGAATCCAAATGGATTCCTTGCCACAAGGCTGAAGGTTGGAGAAGATGGTCCACTTTGAGGAATCCGCATACTATCATGCCATGCCTGACGCCCAGGGCTTGGCGGGGTCGCCATGCATGAGAAGTGCTGTGCTGCCCAAGCTGGAGCAGCTGCAGGATGATTGTCCCAATCATTTGGTTTTCTGGGTGTTCGAGCGGTTGGGGAGCTCGACGGAGGGCTGACAGGTGCACTTATAGAGCCGCCAGTTATGTAATGATTATAATGAGGCAGCCGGGAAGAAGCTGATGATGAACCTGAGGAGAGGTTCTTCAGCCATGGGATGAGGGAATTGGGATCGGCAGTATTGCCATTGCCTATAATGGCGTAACGGGAAGAGGTGGGGCTTGGGAAGGAAGATGATGCAGGACTTGGGTTATAAGACGTATATGGGCTCGGCTGGTACGATGAACATGGACTTGCAGAAGCTGATCCACCCATGATATCACGTTCCACAGGCTTGCATCCCTGTTGAAATGCCAATTGATTATCAGTTCTGAATGACAATCGACAGCAATTGCTGAAAAAGAAGGCATCCTAAGTTTTTCTGGTCATCAAAGTTTTGAGTAAAACAGTATAAGGAAGAATCCATATATAATCCGGACAAAACAGTTTCAACGATTAGAAGATTGATGAATAACTAAGAAAGTTGTTTCAAATCATAAAAGATCGACGAATATGATGAGCAAATACAAGTAACGCCAAAAGACACACAAAAGACCCCATACATGTTGTCCCTTGTGTTATAATGCTAAAAAGAAAACGGAGTATGTCGAAAAGAACCGAAAAGGTTTGCTTTTTATATTAAAAAAACGCAGGTAGTCGAGAAGAATCGTGAATTCTTGGTCTGAAAATATTCATTGGGCTGAATGGAATGAAGATTTTCACAAAGCTTTCTGGCCCAGCACCATTATCAAGCTGTGCTCTCAATTAACTGGAAGAAAAAAAAGTCTCTCAATGAAGCCCGAGAATCTCGGTAAGGGTGGCCATTAGTTGATTTTGTAAAAGATAAAAGAAAGCAAGCGAAAAGGAAAAGGGACCGTAATTGCTCCATGATACTGCTAGCAAATTGCAGACACTGAAATCCTTCCACTGTACACCAGCATGCTGAACTAAAGGGAGATTAAAAGGAAAAGATCAGTGGGTGGGTTGGGTGGGTGCAGAGAAGAACTGGACATTGAAGCTTTCTTGAGCTTAATGGCATCATTTGCTGAGAAGGGCACCTAAAAACATTGTGTTTCTACAGAAGTTTAGCAGGGGATTTGGATAATTAATGAAGCCAAAAAAAAGTAGACAATAGAGTTCTAATCGAGGAGAAAATTTGGCTGTAGAAAGAACGAACTCATTCCTAGAAAGTAGCTAAACTTTCAGAGACAAGTGGAGGTCAATTTTGATGGTTTCGAAGAAGCATTTCCTTGTGTTGGAAACATCTCTGTGTTGGCGTCTGAAAAACTCAGAGAATTCCTCGTCGTCTTCCACTAAGGACTGAACCAAAGAGAATCTCATAGTGGGCTCCAATCAAAAAGTAAAGCAGTCAACAGAATTGAGATTGAGAGCTGACCGTTGGACTCTCAAACAGGGCCATGATTCCAAAATTCCCCTAATCATACCAATTTGCGCCCAACCTCGCTTCCAGAATGCAGACAACAATTCCATCAGTACCAAATTTTTTGGTACAAAATTATGTGTGGAGAATATCGTAAAATTACAGAGAGAGATCCAACGACCTAACACCGGCCAATCACATTAGCACCATTCTCACAAATTCCGATCCATACTCGAAGCAATTACAGAAACAATAACTTCAAATCAATAAATCAATAAATCAATAAATCAATAAATCAATCAATTAATCCACCAATTATCCCTAATCCAACAGACTCAATTTCAGCTAGAAATTGAAAAGGGAAAGAACGAAGAAAGAATCAAATCAAACAAAGCACATTTGAAATAAATCAAAGCGATCGCGAAAAACGGGGGAAGAAGAGTGAAGTACCTTCCGATAGGTAGTGCCGTCTTCCTCAACAGTCCATCCAGCTTCATTGCAGAGGGCTTTGAGGACCTCATTATTGTCGCAGTGCTTGGGAAGCTTGTAGTTGCCATACATTCGCAAACCGAGAAAGATCTTAGCGGCGATGGCACGGCGGCGCCTCTCACGCCGCTTGTTATTCTCCCTCTCCTTCCAAGTCGGCATTCTGTTCCCTGATGTCATCGTAGATTCAGAGCAGAGCGTATGAAGATCGGAGAAGAGGAAGAAGACGACGAACTGTGAAAAAATGGTGGGAAGTCGAATAAGGTTCGTTCGTCGAGAAAATCAGTGAGAAAATGTGTTGTTATTATAAGATCCAATGAGCCTATATATATATAAAAAAATTTAATATTAATTAATTAATTAAGAGAGAGAGAAGAACGAGACGTTGTGTGTGTACTTTTAGCTATGAGAAATTACAAGAGAGCCATTTATTTGTTTTCTCCCGTCCTCCCCCGACTAGCACCGGTTTTACATTTTAAAACTGTGAGGCTGACGGCAATGTTACGTAACAGGTCAAAACGAATAATATCGGATAGCAGTGAGTTTGGTTTATTACAAATATATCAGAGCTAGACATCGTGCAGTGTGACAACAAGGACACTGACCCCGAAGGGAGTAGATTGTGAGGGGAATATAGAGGTGGACTTGAGTTGTTATAAGAGGATTGACTCGTTGGGTAGAATGTCAGAGAAAGACTTTTAGTAGCTGATGAAGACTGTTACTCGTGATGATCGTAAATAGAAAATTTGTGTTCGTTGGTCATTAGTAAACAAGAACCGAGATCAACGCATCAACCTAGAGGGGATTTGTGTTAAGAGTGTATATGAGTTGGGTTGAGAAAATCTTTTGGACCAACCCGAAATTTCGAGTTTGTTTGAATGGTGAACCAAAAGTGTAACCCGAATAGAGCTCACAATCCAACCCTGTAAAATAGATCTCATAAATTTAAAAATATCAAATAAACCGAACGTTTTTTTTAATTAATAAATATGTTAGGTAGAAAATAAAAATTTATCAAATTAGACATTAAATTTTTTATTTTATGTTATTAGTTAATCTTAAAATATGATAAATATGGAATTTAATTTAAAAATTAAGAATCTATTAATAAATATATAATTAAAATTTAGAAACTTAATTAAGAGAAATATTAAAAAATAATAATAAAAGCATGCCTTTATTTTTTAATCTAAAACTTTATTCAAAACATCACTTATTCATTCAAATGCCTAATTAAAATGTATAAAATAATTGTAATGGTTACTTAAAACTTTGGAATTAAGCCAATATTATAGAAATAATAATTAATATTTATTTAAGTCTTAATATTTTTAAACCACCATATTTGAAATTTTATTAAAATTTTAAAATAAAAAATAATTTAACTTAGATTTTAAAATTATTTGAAAACGGTAAAAAAACATAAATTTTAAAATTAGATGATTGTTCTTACATTAAAATTAACACATTTACAGCTATAAAAATTATATTTTAAATCTAAAAACCACGATTTATATATTTTTTTTCCACAAGAATTAAAATGTAAAAAGAAATAAAAATCCCTTTAATAATCATTTTATTTTATTTACCAGAAATAAAAAAGTAAAAATAAAATGAATGGTTCAAAGCCGAATTTTGTAAAATTATATAAAAAAAAGAAAATTACAGATGAAATTAGTATTAAAAAAATAAAATGTTTATGGATCACAGCTTCGAAATTAAATTATTTTATGGATTTTTTCCTTTTTTTTTTTTAAGGTGAAATTATAAATCTATTAAATATTAAATTTATTAAACACCATTAAAATAAAAATTATTTTTAAAGTAAAAATTATAATTATCAACGGTGGAGATTAAAACTGAATCGCTAATTTATATAATTTATTATTTATAATTTTCTCCGGGGGGACACCCTACCCTACAGAGACTGCCTTTAATTAGGCTCAAGCCCTATCCCACGGCTCGGTCACGTGAGAATCACGCCGTAATCGATGTCTTTTTCCCGACGAATCACAACCGATCATGGATGATCACATTTCAGCCACGTGTCCCGGTCTCCCAGAGCTTACGGTGGTCCCGGCTGTAGGCGCCACCCTTAATTTTCGCTTCTCAGATTTTACCCCCTAAGCACACGTGGCATGAATCCAGTCATTGATCTCTTAACCTTTGGAGAAGTGATAAGAACACCCGGGGTTTACATCACCGCCGAATAAAAATCCAAGACGAGTCTTTTCATCCTTCCCGTTGAATATATTTGAAATTTTGGAATTTTCCTTTACAAAATATATATATATTTGAATAGAAATCTGGGGAGACAATATATTTTTGATTTGATACGTAAATGTTGAGATCCATACATTGTTACATGGTAAAGCTCGATCACGAAAATGGCAAGTGACGTTGATCTAGACACGTAGATTAAAGATGAGTTTACGTGGTATAAAAGTGTCCGAGATAATTTAATTTTATATATAGAAATACATTATTAAAAAATTCAACTTTTTATCATGTTTGTTTTTAAAAAAATACTAATGGCAATAATTATTCAAATGTATAATTAAAATAAATGGAATTATAATTCGAAACCATTCTAATTTAACTATTATCATTTTTTTTTTGTCAAAATGGTAAAATCCAATATATATATATATTTTTTTTAATTTAGCTAAAATTTAAAAGTTTTAATATAAGACAAAATTTAAATATGACAATGACATAATGACAGGATGATTTTTAAATTAAATAACGTCAAAAAAAATTTATCTAATATTTTAATAAATTTATTACTTCAAAATAGTTTTTTAAATTTTTATAAAAAGTAGAAAGATATATTAAAATTTTAAAATAATCGATATATTTTTGAAATAAATGAGAAAACTTAAATATATAGATTATATATTTATATTTTTTTTAATCTTTAAAATTAGTGGGGGTGGTGAAGCGTTCACACGTGCGCCGCGGACCTGAATTCAATGATAAAACTGTAATGAAAGTTGAGGAAGGGTCCGGCGAGTGCTGGGAGTCTTATTAATTATCGTGCACTTTTTTTTTTCTCTTCTCTAATTTTTTAATTTAATAATTTTCCAGGTTGGATTATAAGGGGCCCACGTGTAGTTACATCCTGTCCGTTAAAACTGATGACGGGGTTGATTATCTACTGACAACGAAGCGGTGTCGTTTCGTTTCCATTTCGATTTTGTAAACTTTCAAGTCAAACCTAACAATTATTAGACGCGACACTTTCTCACGCGCCAATAAACTTCAATTTTTCTTTTTTTTCGAATTTTATCTTTTATTCTGACCAAGTCAACTTCTTCTTTTTAACTTCTATACATTTTAATGAATTAAAAATAAAAAACAAGGTAATTTTAATTAGAATCTCACATGGAGAGAGAGCGGAGTTGAGTCTCGTATGTAGGCACTTGGATCGAGTTATGGATAGGTTAACATGTGGGTCACAAATCGAGCGAGTCATTGGTGGATCGTATTTTGGGTCGAGGAGTGTCGTTTGGCTGAGGGTGCTATTGAGTCGAGGCAACGTTTAGAGCGGGATTGGAGACTTACGGGTTGGGCCAAGGTCGCGTTTGGGGCAAGCTGCTGGGTGTTTGAGCCTAGCACAATATCATAAAAAACAAAAACAATTATTTTAGATGACAATTGTGGGATTTGAACCCACGCCCTTTCGGACCAGAGCCTAAATCTGGCGCCTTAGACCACTCGGCCAAATTGTCTTGATGTAAAATAAGTTAGCTAAGCGAAACCCAACTGCAGGGAGCGAGCCGTAGCGTGAGCCATAGCTAGGAGGGAAACATGGTTGAGTCTTGTATGTAGGCACTTGGATCGAGTTATGGATAGGTCAACGCGTGGGTCACAAATCGAGCGGGTCATTGGTGGATCGTATTTTGGGTCGAGGAGTGTCGTTTGGCTGAGGGTGCTATTGAGTCGAGGCAACATTTAGAGCGAAGTTTGAGACTTGTGTGTTGGGCCAAGGTCGCGTTTGGGTGAGGTCGCTATTTGGCCGAGGCAACGTTTAGAGCAAGGTTTGAGACTTGCGTGTTGGGCCAAGGTCGCGTTTGGGGCAGGCTGCTGGGTGTTAGTTCGGGAGATTAGCAGTTGAGGTTCAAATTCATGTTCGGAAGCTAACTTTTGACCTATTTTCTTTAATATAAATTTAATATTAAATAATTTCATGAAAAATAATTATTAAAGATGATAACTATGAGATTTGAATCCACACCTTTTTGAACCATAGCCTAAATCTTAGGCCTTAGGCCACTCAACTAAATTTTCTTGCTGCAAAATAGGTCAAAAAAGAAAATTAGAAAAAAAAAAAAGCCAAAAGCGAATAATATTTGCTAGCGGTGGGCTTAGGCCGTTACAAATGGTATTAAAGTTATACACCGGGCCACATGCCAGCGAGGATGCTGAGCCTCAAAAGGAGGTGGAAACGAGGCAGTTTGTCAGCAAAGATGCTGGGTCTCGTAGGGGGGTGGATTGAGGTCCTACGTCAACTAGAAAAGGAAACGAATGTCAGCGAGGACGTTGGGTCCCGAAAGGGGGAGGGGGGAAGATTGTGAGATTCCACATCGATTGAAGAGAGGAACAATATCTTCTAAGGGTGGACTTAGACTGTTACATTCAACTTACCGAACCGGGATGGAAAAAAAAAGGTCAATTGTATCCGTACGAGGAATGAAAATGGAGAAAACATAATTATTCTCCATTTTCATTATCAATGGTTACCCATCACCCAAAATTTGGTTCTTTATTGTGACATCATTATGAAATTGTATGATCACTTTTATAGTTTTCAAAGGAATCATATTCTGTTTGAAACACTTCATATATTCTTCTCTTAGTTCTTAGTTTTCTTTTAAATTCATTCATCACTTTGTGGGACATATAGAATGTTCTAATCAACTACCCAACCACCCAAATTCAACTCGCTCTTCAAGTTACGTATAAGGAATGATTCGATGTCCTTCCCAACTGATGTGGGATCTCGTTCCCTTTTCTCTAATTGAAGTGGGACCCCTCAATCCACGCCCTTCGTAGCCCAGCGTCTTTGTTGACACTCGTTCCTCTCTCTAATCGATGTGGGATCTCACAATCCACCCCCTCTTTGGAGTCCAGTGTCCTCGATGGCACACTACCCGATGTCTGACTCTGATATCATTTGTAATAGCCCAAACTCACTACTAAGAGATATTGTCCTATTTGGACTTTTCCTTTCATGCTTCTTCTCAACGTTTTTAAAACACATATGCTAGGGAGAGGTTTCCACTCCCTTGTAAAAAAATGTTTCGTTCCCCTTCCCAACTGACGTAGGATCTCATAATCCACCCCCCTCCAGGGCTTAGTGTCTTCGCTGGCACACGCTCCCTTTTCTCCAATCGATGTTGGACCCCCAATCCACCCCCTTCAGGGCTCAGTGTCTTCGTTGGCACACGTTCTCTTTTCTCCAATCGATGTTGGACCCCTCAATCCACCCCCTTCGAAACCTAGAGTCCTTACTGGCACACCGTCTCGTGTCCACCCCCTTTAGAGCTCAACCTCCTCGCTAGCACATCGCCCAATGTCTGTCTCCGATACTATTACTTATAAGGGTGTAGAAACCTCTCTCTAGCATACTCGTTTTAAAAACCTTAGCGGTAGACTTGGGTTGTTACATCTACCTAGGTTGCGGGTCAAACAAAACGACCAACTCTCTCCCACTTTGTGTGCTTTTTCCTTCTACTCATTGCATTGTACTGCAGTACACGGGTGGTGAAGCCAAGCCCCACCATTTTTTTATCATTGCTTTAACCACTTAGAAAGTGATGAATTTTTTTTTACAGGGAATGCAATAGTTTTAAGTATTTAGTAACAGGGTCTCCATTTATGCCATGTTTCATAAAATATGGAAATGGTTGTGTTAAATAATCCTTCCATTCTAAATTTCAATTAAAGAATATGTAAAACATTTGATCAAAATTGTGGAAACCATATGAAAAGCTCGAAGACTATAGACAATGGTGACCGGTGTGACTATACGACGGGTACCGATATGGATATCGGTACAGACACCTCGCTAGGGAAGCTCGAATCCCTGTTAGGGGTCGAGTTACTTGCATAGGCATAATGCATTGTGACTTGCTCGCATCTTTGGAACACTCTAGCTAGCGAAGCAGCCTTTCTTCTTGCTCGCTTGGTACCGGTAAATAGGAGCATTTGGAGCAACCCAGCCAATGCAGGAGCCTTGAACACCTGCTCGGTCGTGGCAGCTCCGCCACTCCGGCATAACTCGAGCAAAGCTGCTACTGCGTTCTCTTTTCCTCTTGGTGTTCCACATCGCATCATTGCCATCAATCCTGCTACAGCTCTCTCGTCTTTACCGACTGCTTCAGCCCCTATCGGCTGTCGAACAACCAAGGCCAATGCACCTGCTGCTTCTTCAGCAACACCTTCATTCCCCAGTGCTTCTACGAGAGCTGTTACTGCCCCAGCGTCGATCATCCGAACGCAATTCTCCGTGTGAGTCGAGAGGTTAAATAAAGCTGTTACAGCATCCTTCTTTCCTCTTGGGGTACCATCTCTCAACAACCCTGCTAAGGCTTCAACTGCACCACCCTCCTCTGCTATTCTCTTCTTGTAGTCATGAACTGCAGAGAGGCTGAATAACGTAGCCGCAGCGTTTTCCCGTGCTTCGGTACTATGTCCAGATCTCAACACTTCGGTTATCGATCCTAAGCACCCTACCTCGCTCATAATCAAACTTTTGTTCTTGTCATATATTGAAAGGTTAAGCATAGCTGTTACAGAATTCTCCTGTGCTACTGGGTTTGGGGAAGTCAGCAACTTTTGAAGATGAGGGATGGCACCAGCTTCGGCAATGAAAGCGCGGTTTTCTTTCCCCGTTTTCGCCAACAAACGAATCTCCCGAGCAGCAATCGTCTTCGCATCCTGTGACCCAATTGATAACTGTTGAATAAGAATCATAGCTGTTGCTCGGTTGGCTTCGAGAGCAGCTCGTGTAGGTGAAGCCATTGCATAACTTTCTACAGATGCATCCATCCCCTCTGGTGGATCATAAGGAACTCCATGTGCTATACACCATTGCATGATCAAATTCCCTAACGCACGGTTCGGAGCGAGACGGGTATGGACGAGCATTTGCCCTGATTTCGGGCAAGTGTTGTGCCCTTCTTCCAACCATCTCGTGATCGAACTACGATCATATGTTTGACCTGTAGAAATGATCACTGGATCTTTCATCAAATCCAGAGATATTGGGCAGCAAAAATCCCTTGGAATTGTTAAGAACGTATCAGCAATCTCCTGCATAATCAAATTCTTCTTCAGCTTCTTCTGGTTTGCTGCTCCTGAATCAATATCATCTTCCTCGAATCCAAAGAGGAAAAACCTGCTATATCTCGTAAAAGCAACGAAACCGTTCAACACCGCTACGGTGGGCTCGACGTCGCCATCATGATTGACAATCTGCTCCTCCAGAAACTCAATTTCAGTTCTACAACTCTTCGCATTCCGAATCCCCAACTTATCCACGAAAAACTCCCTCAATTCCCTCTGATTTGGAAGCCGACCGTTCTCAAACTCGTCAAGAAACGAAAGGAAGCGAGTCCTCAACGTCTCGACGTGTTCATCGACGAACATCCTCGTCCTTCTCAATTGCTTCTGCAAAAGCTCAACCTGTTCTCTAACATCCACTCCTAATTCCACTTCCTCAAGAGGAAAAACATCTAAAAATGTCAATAACTCCAAATTCAAATCATTGAAATGCCCTGAAATCGTCTGGTTCTGAAGCAACAGCCATAACTTACTTGATTCAGAGCAATAATCAAGAAGTATTTTAGATCGATACAACAATAAATAAAGCTCTTTCAAACAGAGCAACGCAGTGTGAGGCAAAGTCGCATCAATATCCTTCAAGCAATCCAAAAATACGAGACAAACCTCAAGTTTCCTAATCAGAGATCGGGAATTTCTTCGCTGAAAGAAGAAAGACTTCTCTGAAAATCGCGAAACGAGCTCCGTCGCAACGATCCCTAGAGTTTGAACTAAGGCGACATTGGAGAGATCAACGGGAGCCAAAAACGCCTCCAACGATGGCGATCTCCTTCTTCGTAAAGACGAGAAAATCGCAGCAGCAGCCATAAATAATCCACCAACCCCCAAATTCTAGGGTTTCCAGAATAAAAAACAGACAACCGCAAATCAGAACTGAAAACTCAAAAATCTTCGAGGAGAAAGAAAAGGCTGAATCGAAATCAGAGTTGAAGGAGACGAAGAACTGTGATTTGTACAAAGGATACTCCAAAATCTGCGAGTTGTTGATCGTCTGAGAGTTGAAAAACGCTACGAGATTGAATTGGAATGGGAAGGGATTTTAAAAAATTAGAGTAAAGGAGGATTCCGCGTACGAGCAATGGAAGTGAGAAATTGTAAGAGCTTGGATGAGTTAGCAATGGCGGTCACCATTGGAGATTGATGTTCCAAAGGTTTGACGATAAATTTATGAGAGATTCTTGTCCATTCGTTCCTTCTTTTTCTTAATAACACCTTTGAAAAAAAAAAAACTATTTTCAAACTAACACAAATACCCAAAATTTGAATATCTAATTTCCGGGTCGAGATTACACCGATGCTCTGTAAATTATACTTAGTTTCTTTCTATTCAACATAGAACGGGATGAGACTTTCGGTCCCCATCTTCATCCTCACTGCCTATTTCAATAATGGACCGCTAGCAAGCTCGTTCTGATATTGGATGTAGTATATTGGAATCATGTTCTGATAAGTCTCCGTTTAACAGTCCCTAGCATAACTCATTTTACGTGCTTAGACCTGCCCAAGTAGAGCAACCCGAAAATAGAGGACAAGGAACAACGGTGCTTTACTCGATTGGGAGAGTGCTCGTAACGATTTAGGGTTTGAAAAGATTATAAAATATTATAATCAAAATAATAATGTTTTAAAATAAAAATATATATAATTATAACCCATAACCAATAAATTTTTTTTTAAAAATTCAAATTTTAATATTACAAAATTATTATTATAACGTGGGTAATATAATTATCGACCAATCAAATTTTTTCCTTCTCTCAATTAAATGAATATTTTTATTATATATATATATATATATATATATATATATTTTTTTTTATTGAATAAAATTTATTTCTTTATCTTATATTCTTCCTTTCACCTAACTTTTCTTTTAATGTGGGGAAAAAAATAGAGAAAAAAAGAAAAGGGAATTATATTTATATATAAATAAATAAATAAATAAATAAAAAGCGTTGACTAAGAGATATGGGGCCTAGGAGTTAGTGTGGTTGAGCTGGCCAATGGCATAAAATTTGTCGACAGGATGGGCCGGTGGGGACCACGACGCTCTTGGGTTGACTTCTAAATTAATTATTTTAATTTTATTTTATAATTTACATTTATAGCCTTTTCAGCTTTTCTTTTTTTATTTAATTTATTTTCCTTACGAAAACTCCTTTCCATATTACTTTTTTTTTTTTTCTCAAATCATTTTAATATTTTATAGGTAATGATTTTATAATATTTATATATATAGTTTTACAAAATATAATCTCATATTATTAAATATAATCAAACATTTACGGAACATAAACACGGTATCATACTGTTTTGAAAAAAAAATCTTACTGTAATGCTATAAAAGCAGTTCACAAGTGACTAACATAATTCAAAGGTCGCTCTCTTAGGTAACTCCAAGACTACTCTCTTTCATTAGTGACATTCAAACACGAGCATACTCACATGACATTCCCTTGTCTTCGACAACAATGCGACTTCGAGTGGTCCTCGTCTCTAAGGATGTTGCAATCACACACGATATAAGCTCTTCCTTATAGCAATGAAAATCTACTGTTTGACTACTGACAAGACCTATACGTAATGTCAAATATGACTCGTGACCAACCATAACAATTATTATATGTTTCGTTTATTATTCTGTAATCATCTTGATGCTACATTGTATTTTTATTTTATAGTTTGATATTAATAGTTTCCTCCTGTAATAAAAGCTATGGAAAAAGTATAGTTGAGATTGTATCATATCGTAGCAGCTATTTAATTGAAAGCTCATATTTGTACGATGGTCGACAAGAATCAAAATTCGAAGTGTACACGGGTAGAGTTGGCCTGAGTTTAAGAAAATTATTTAACTCAATCCAACTATACTTTTTCTTTTTAGGTTAGATTGTCGGGTTGTTTATTTAATTATCTCTTAAAAATATTACTTATTTACTGTGCATATTACGCTAATAACTAAAATTTCATAAAACTCAAATATCAATCAGAAATAATGTTTAAAGTACGGTAGAGTTGAGTTGGGTTGTAGCCTTGTTTTCAAGTTGGTTGGATCGACCAGACCAAAAAAAAATGTTAACCCACGAACGGTTTTGAATTTTTTTTGTTTTCAAAAAATTCAACCCAGCCTAAATTGAAAAAATTTACCTAACTTTTATGATCCCGGTTTCGGGTCATATGAATACCCTTTAACAAAACACTAATTTGAAAAAAATAAAAAAAAATAAAAAAAATTTGAAATCTTTTTATTTTTTATTTTGAAATTTGACTATTTTTTTAAGAAAAAAGATAATTTAAAAAGAAAAGGAAAAAGAAAAAAAAGGATAGTCAAGGAGTTAATGAAGAGTGAAGTATGGGAGGGGCAAGGGCGAAATATTCAAATTAAAAGGGTACAATAATAAATTTTTATTTTTCCCATTCCACGATAAGTTTGACTAGACTAACAGCCAATTAGAAGCTTCCACGTTTCAAATTCCTACCCGTCCACGTAGTTGCGTCTTGATCCGATAATTTTCTACCATTAGAAAAGCGCCACGTAGTATAATGTCAGCGGGAAACCCCAAAGTCAAAATCTTGCCGGCTGACGTCAGATATTAATTTTTTTAAAAAGAAAATAAACGCATGGGAACCCGTGCTTCTGACTGGACTCAATCAAATGACCTGTCGCCGTTGACTTTATTCTCGTTTTCAGATTGATGACGTGGCGTGATTCTATTTGGTTGTTGTTATCTAGCTGGCTAGGCTAACCCGTTGAGTCTATATTGGATTGGTAGATAAGCTTGGACTTCAACGAATGTTGTAGCTTATGGCCGGTAATAGTGCAAGGGTATTTTGGTCATTTTAACGAAGATTGAGAGAAAGTAGATGAAGTAAAGTGGTGATCTTGAGACTTCAACTTAAGTGGTCGCTTATGTCCGTTAATAGTGTGAGAATATTTTGGTCATTTTAACTCACGGTTGAGGAAAGTAGATGAGTAAACGTGTTGATCTTGAGACTTCAACAACTGTTGTCGCTTATGGCAATTAATCGTATGAGGGTATTTTAGTCATTTTGACTCAATATTTAGAGAAAGTAGATGAGTAAAAGTGTTGATCTTTTAGACTTCAACAAAGGTGGTCACTTGTGGCCCTTAATAATGTAAGGGTATTTTGGTCATTTTAACTCAAGATTGAAGAAACATAGATGAATAAAAGTGTTGATCTCGAGACTTCAACAAAGGTTATCGCTTCTAGGTGTTAATAGTATGAGGGTATTTTAGTCATTTAACTCAAGATTGAGAGAAAGTAGATGAGTAAAAATAAAGTAGCAAAGATGTCTATTCATTGAACATAGACACCAACACAAGAACAAACATAAACAAGAATTGCTTTGCTTGTGTTCATACTTCATGACCTTCAACATTTAGAATCAATTCTTGTTAAGTATATTTTAATCTTAAATTTGAATGAGAAAAATAAAAAATAAAAATAAAGTCGAGCTGAAGCACGAGCCGACCAAGGGACCTTCAAAACTATGGTAGATATATTATTTCCTGTGTTCATATTTTTATTTTAATGTATTTCTTTTACAAACAAAACGTTAGTTTACGTTAAATTACAAATTCAGTCTCTATGGTTTTGAGAAAATTAGAATTTAATCCTTAAGAAAGAAGCAGACACATTAGGGAAAGTTAATACTCGATCGACCCAGTTTAATTCTTCCAGATACCTTTGGAAGCATGATAGGACCATGATATCTTGTTTCTCGTTCGAGCCAACTTGTACGCAGCTCAACTATTCTCCCTGGACAACTTAAAAGATACTAAATTCTAGATAGATGGTCACGATGACCTAAATCAACTCGTGGTGGTTAAACCATGTAATATTTACGTGGTATTTATTGACCACTAGATACCAACTTGTGGTCGTTTTCTCTCTTCTACTTCTAATGGTATAAAACTATAAGGTACACTATAGTTGTAATAGAACAAGCCTATTGCCACCAGATATTGTCCTCTTTGGCTTTTTCTTTCGAGCTTCCTCTCAAGGTTTTAAAACACGTCTTCCAGGGAGAGTTTTTCATATCTTTATAAAAAAATGCTTCGTTCTTACTATCCAATCGATGTGGAATCCGAGCGTTCTTACGGGCACTTGTTCCCCTATCCAATCAATGTGGGATCCCACAATCCACTTCCATTTGGGACCCAGCGTCCATGCTGGTACTTGTTTCTCTCTCCAATCGACGTAGGATCTCACAATCCACCCCCTTCAGGGCCCAACATCCTCGCTGGCACACTGCCTGGTGTCTGACTCTAATACCATTTGTAACAGTCCAAACCCACCACTAGCAGATATTATCCTCGCTTAGCTTTCCCTTTTGGGTTTACCCTCAAGATTTTTAAAACGCGTCTACTAGGGAGATATTTCTACACCCTTATAAAGAATGCTTCGTTTCCCTCTCCAACCGATGTGGAATTTCATAATTCACCCCCCTTCGAGGCCGGCGTTCTCGTTGGCACTCGTTCCCCTCTCCAATTAACGTGAGATCTCACAGTCCACCTCCCTTTAGGGCTAACATCCTGTTGGCACTCATTCCTCTCTCCAATCGATGTGGGTTCTCACAATACTAGCTTCATCAATTCATTTCTTCTCGAACTTAGTTCAAAAGGCTATAACAAAAAAACTATTCACGAACAGATAAAAAAAAAAAACATAGAGACGTAACACAAACATATCGAAAAACGACATTCAAGTTGGTTAGTTCATCACTTCAAATTATAAGAATTCGTTACTTGAACGAAACTATTAAAGTGTGAATACATGAGAGACAAAACGTGAAAAAGGGAAACGCGTATTTGAATAAACAATAAAAGCAAAAACAAAAACAGACAAAAACACTTTGATTAGCATCTTTGTGTTCTCACTCTGCAAAAACAGACAAAAACATTCATGAAATTATGCCAAAACATATAGGAATCAACAAATTTTAATGAATTTGTGACCCTCCATCGTGTTTTTGACTACACAGTTTAGATTGCGTGAAGAATTTCATAGAACACTCAATGCTTTCATATCAGTAAGCAACCGATATAAGAATTTTGACCAATTGGATGAGTGAAAGTAACATGCACTCAAAATACTAAATCTTGACAACAACGTGATAAGAACCAAATGATTTACGGTAAAGTTGCAAATATAATATTGTCCTCTTTGGATTTTCCTTTTCAAGTTTTCTTTTAAGGTTTTTAAAACACGTCAGCCTCGGGA